TATTTATATGCAGATCGCATTCATGAGGTGATTTGCATGACCATTTATGGTTGAACTAGGGCGTGTAGAGGGCGGAATATGAGGCGGATCTGGGTGCACACAACTCCAGGAGGTCTGTGATTTATAAAGAAAACACTGCGTGCAAGTGTGCGTGCGCACGGTTTCATTAGATTATTTTTTGGCGCACGCCATTTTCAGCTTTTGGGCGCACGTCAACTCTTAGTATGAATCCTAAGCACTCTTTTATAAATGAGGCCCCAGGTGATAAACACTGAAAAAATAGTAAAAAAAAAAAAAAAAAGTGGAAAAAAAAAAGTGTTTTGGCAACGCTCTTGTCGCGGAGGGGCTGCTAAGTACAGTGGCCAACGCAAAAATAGGCGAAAACACAAATGGTCCTATCTAGAACCAGTGTTTGGTTTGTCCATTTTGGACAACTTTACTGGACCCACTCCCTATGTAGATCAGATCATAGACTGATTAAGACATAGACATTTTACTACTTTTATTACTTTTAATACTCTTACATTTTCTACATTTACATTTTTTAAATTAATTTTCCTGATTATAGTTACATACTTTTACTTAAAGGTAGGGTCTGGAGGATTTTCCAGTTGCTGTTTGTAAACACACATTCAAATTTGGCCCCTCCTATCAGGCTCAACTCTCCCGGCTGTAGGGAGCCCGGAGGTACAGAAGAAGGCTTCATAGAAGAGGTTCAGGCAAGGCTCGCGCTGGTGTACGCTCGGGCACGCTCGGGCATGGCACCTGCGCTCTCTCATTGGCTGGGGAAATCTCCGCCCAGAAGCGGTCAGAGCTCACAAAAACATCAAAGGGCAGGAGCTCTGCAAACAGAGTCACCACCACACATGAGTAGAAGCCCATAGGTGATGATTAAGCAGGATTTCATTTGTATATGTCTATGTTTTGTTTTGTTTGAAAATCCTCCACATCCTACCTTTAAGTAACACTTTCAATGCAAGACATGCAACAGTGTTAGAACTTGTACTGAAGTGAAGGATCTGAATAGTTCCTCACAAGGTCTTCCTCCCCTCTCACAGGTAGCCGCTCTGTCAGGCGATGCTCGCCGATGTTTGGACATCTGTCGCAGGGCGACAGAGATCTGTGAGCACTCTGCTGCTGACCCTTCTGCCTCAAGATTGGTGGGAATGAGTCACGTGATGGAGGCGCTGAATGAAATGTTTTCCTCCGCCTACATCACTGCCATCAAGTGAGACTTTCTCTTTTATCACATTAATGATGGCATTGAAAAGGAGTGACAAGATAAAGTAACTGGCATGTGTCTTCAGGTGTGCATCACTGCAGGAGCAGCTCTTCCTCAGGGCAATCATTGCTGAGTTTCGCCGACTTGGATTGGAGGAGGCCACCTTCCAACAGGTAAATAAAAACAGTCCCCTCTTCTGTTGCTGAGATATGATGCTAAGTAATGGCCAGAAAAGTGTTTTTGCAGAGCATCATGATGTCACGGTGAGGTTGACCTGTCAAAATAAATTTCAAGTCACACCCATTTCAGTCTGGATCGATGTGGTCCAGATCCTGAAGCACAGAACCTCAATAAAAGTCCTCACCTCTGTTTTTCTGTGATCCAGGTGTTTGTGCAGCACCAGGCTCTGTGTCGGGTGGAGGGTCTGCAGCCAGTCACCGTGTCGGAGGGTCTGGCGGTGTGTCAGCGTCTGGGAGCCTGCAGGTTACTGCTGCTGGAGTCCAGCCGTTTGGGAGTCCTGCAGAGAGTCCGCCTCAATGTGAGCCAGGACGACATGCTCTACGCCCTGAAAGCTGACTGAAGGAGAATCCTCTTCAGACTCATTTATCTGAACTACATGAGACGTTAACCTGTCTGAGTTACACAACCTGAAACGAAACAGATTTCAGTTTTTAAACCTTAATATTAAGTCGAGGCACAGATTTGGAGTCAGTTTTTTTGCATTTGATGGTATGTTTTCTCCATAAATCAGTTAGTCTTTAATTATTTTAAGTTTTGATGTTCCCAGTTTAAAATGAGAGATTTGTCTTTCTGGAATTGTTTTTAACATTGTATAGTGCATCTGTTTGTTTTATGTTTAATACCTGAATATGCAATAAAACTCCACCTTTAATATGAATCACTCTTTAATTGTTTTTCTTGAGTTGATGGTATGAATACAAATACTGAGGAATTCTATCAAGACAACTATGGAAAAAACAATAAATGGAAAAGAATTTTCAATAGATGTATCTTACTATATAATAAAGAAAACGCTGTCTGTGGGTCTGTGTTCCACGTTTTTCTCCTCACTGACTTGGTCAATCCATGTGAAATTTGGCACAGTGGTAGAGGGTCATGGGAGGATGTGAATGAAGCAA